TTTGAAAAAATTATTGACGAGTGAGGACAACTATTCTCACTTTTAATTTCAATTCGTATTATTTTGTGTCTGCATTTAATTTTTACTGCTCAGCAAACAAAAATTCTTCACCTGTTCTCTTTAGAAATAAATATTCCTATGTGTTTGTATATGAATTGATACATACACATATATAAGTAGACATGCATGCACAAATGTGTATGAGAGGATGAATAACAATCTATGTTAGGCTTAATTCCCTCTACTAAGCCTTATGCAGCTCAGTTTTCTACAGTTTTCACTCTCTCTCTGTTTTTGATGGGTAAAACAGATAATTCCTTTTCTCCAGCTCTTGCCTACCTAAGCCGTAGTTAGTCCTTCCATGGGACTTTTTGGTTTTTTTGCTTTCTAGCCCCTTCCTAACATATTTTGGTCTTATTTGGAGAAAGATTCCTACTAGCATTACATCCTCTGACCCAAAATAAGCTCAGACTCTGTTGAAGCACCAACTGAGCTCCATACTGATCGGTTCACTTGCTTTATCAGTGATTGCCCTTTGAAATATCAAAGCAATAACCCCAGACCTATTTCCATTTAGCCTCCCTGCCAGTGCAAGGTGAAATTTCTGATCTCTTGGTCAGAGGCTCTTTCAGTGACTCTTGGGTTTCTCAGAAATGTACCATGGAATATCTGGGCCATCTTTTATCAGTAAAAGAACTTCATACCTCTCCACTTATGGCAAACTCTCATCAGTTATTTCTATTACACCTGAGCTCCCGTGTCTCTCTTTGAAGAGCTATTTGCTCTGAATAGCTCTTTGAAACTATTTCATCCTGACATTTTCCCAATAGTTATTAGTCTAATTGAAAAACCAGAAAATGTGACAATATACGTACCTCTCTGCAACTTTTGACATTTTTAATCTATGTCTGTCTAATTGCATTTGCCAGTGCTTAATCTGCAAGAAAGGAAGGCAAAGAGTTTTATGAGTAATTCACTGTTTGACTCTATTTCTATAACTTTTTTTATTAGGACTGTGATTTAATCTTAATTTATCCTAGGGCACATAAGAGAAATATATCTGAATTAAGACAACATTTCACCAGTCTAGTTCTAAAATAAATGGAATTTTCCAATAAAGAGAAAAGATTATACAGAGACAAAAATTGTGCCCAATATAACATTTTCCCTAAAGGTTCATTAACTGAAAAGCAATTAGCTTTTTTTTAGATCTTTGAAGAGAACTACTAATTATTCAGACATTTACCTTCTCCAAATTCTAATACCTCAGGAAAGATTAACAAAGCTTTAAGAGCAGATAAATGTGTGAACCTATACATGCATACATGGAGCATTAAGTATACCCCCAAACCTCAATTCAGTGTTGAAAGGAAGCACAAGCTGCCTACTGCTAAAAGGGCTAGTGGGCAAAGAACCCACTCACTGGCCTCTTGCTCGCTGCCTTTAGATGTTTAATGCAAGATACAAAAAATGTCAGATTTTGTCACATTAATGTTAATGAAGTTACATGTCCCAATCCATGTATCTTGAAAAAAGAAAAAAGTTTACTAAATGTTTGCTAGAGCTGTTCTGAACAACCTCCCAGTTATGATAATTTTTGGTTTAATACCTACTTTCCTAAAAAGTTACTTTAAAAGTACATGCTTGTAGTTATATTTCAAACCTCTTGGTGTAGTTCATCTTCTGTGGGTGGTTTAGTCTCTGGTGCTGGCGTGTGGGTAGGGCTGTGACTTCGAATGTCATTTTGTAAGCCATAGACAGACTATGCAAAAAATATGGAACAATGACAGTTGCTATCAGACAATGCTTTCTACACATACTCATAGTAACTGTGATGTCTTAGTACATGGTGCTCATAACCAAGAGCATTTTCTTCTAGCGAAACTGTGATAAGCCATGCTCACAGATAAAATTGTGCTTCTATACTGTGGTGTAAAATAAAGACTCCCAAACTCCCACAATTTCATAATGCCATAGAACAAAGGATCAATTTTTATTATGTCTCTGTATTAAAAGCATAGTAAACATGGGGGATGACACTGAGACATGCTATTACAGCAAGTGAAGATGACTGGTAGTAGGAGTATCCTGAAAGGTAGATTATCACACGGATTATTTGGATGACTTTCAAATTTGCAATTACTGCCTGCTAAACTACACTAATCTAGATCTTTCACTACCATAAATCAGCCAAGATAAAACTTTCTCTAAATTCACTTTCCTTTATGAAACATACTTTTCTATGGGTTGACATGAAAACATACCTCAAAGGAAGCACTTAAACATGGGAGCCAATCTATGTAATTATGATGCAAAGGATTTAAAAGAAAGTTTTGAGCAAATCCATCAATACATCCCAAGAGAAGTTACACTGTTCATGTCTGGATCCTAATTTAGATTAATCTAATTTCCTCCACAATTTCTGGTCATCATTTTGGGCATAATTGTAAAATAGAAACACCCTTTTCATTAAGACCAGCACATGAACTACTATTAGTTTACACTGAATTTTTATTTTGTATTTCCTTAATTACTGATAGGAACATTTTACTATGCCTTATTCAATCTATTGAACAATGTGAATAAAGCATGCAAAAATTAATTTTATTTTCGAAATCTCTGTGAATTTCTTGAAAGTTTTCTTATGTGATAACATTTACTTAGCATTAGCAAATTTGTTAGTACTAATTCAACTACAAGCTTAAGAAATATTAACACACATTCATGCATTTATTCCTTGCAGCTGTAAGAAAAAGATGCTTTAAGAAACTATGGAACTTCATGCTATGAATTTTGTCCACCTCTTGCTTTTGATATAACAGCAGTACTTACCTTTCTTGTTTTATGCGGATTTCTCATTCTTGAAGATTTTTTTATATCCACTTCAGTAGTGTTTACACATCCAGGCTATTAAAAGGAAAAAAAAGGAAAGCACAAGCCTAAATCTATGAAGGAACTCCATACTATTTCCATTGAGATACCTCTCTTCAGTTTGCGAGGCTAAAAAGATAAATAACCAGAAACATATAACTTGATGTCCTTCTGCAGTAGTCCCCGTTGGAGTCCCTATGGAGTAAGACATCGAAGATCACATGCTTAGAACTTACGACATCGTGAATTTAAAATAAAATTAATTCTCAAGATAACAGAAACCAATCACATGTTTCTGCTTCAGTTTTGCCGAGGAAGCCATAAACTGCACTCGAGCTATACCTCCAAGAAGCATGAGACAAAATAAACAGAATTGTGCAATACCCATCTCAGTTGTAAACCTCAGGCTCCCTTCAGAAGCATTTGGTTTTGGGCCAATTTTTAGAGATTGTCTACTTTTAAAACAAAATGAGGGGTTGGGGCGGGGGGGAATGTAACAAAATGAGATTTGTTTCTTCAGAAAAAAAAAAAAAGAAAAAACTCAAAACAACAAAACAGGCTTCTGCAGCCTAACTAAGAGACTAGTAGTCTAAAGAAAATTATGCTCAACTCATCTGATTTAGCCTTCAGTGATTCATTCTCACAACTCTGTAGCATCCCAAAGGACATAAGTCCTCTAGTTTCTCCTAATTCATCTTCCTTTGACACTTCCCTCTAAGTACAAAACCTGTGCATAAATCTGTTTTTTACCCATTGCTGGAAACAACTAATATGAAGTGTTTTGCTTCTGAGTGACTTTTCCCTAATGATTTTAGGGGGATTTAAAATTTGACACTGAGAGTGGAATATACGAAATCTGCTCTCTAGTGTGGGCAAATTTTTAGTGAAAGTAGGTTGAGGCTTTTTCTATGGGATTAGCTAGATATTGAATATACTTGCCCTACAACCAACCTGTACTTATTATCACACTAATGATACAACCTCTGTCTTCATATCATAATGCCTGATGTGGCTGTAAATCTTCACAGAAAAAATTTAAAAAATTTCTTACATAGAGAGATCCAAGAAACAAATTTAATTAAACAGACCAATGGTACCTTGCCTCTGAAAAATATTCTAAACAGACTGATCTTTTAAATTTTTTAATCCAGTATAGTTTTTTAATTAAGTTTTTATTTTAAAGTCATAAATTAATGTGTTTGATCATATTATATTTGCAGTATAAACAGTTCCTTGTCACTAAGAATAAAAATGGACAGATAATATTCTCGAGACTGCATCTGACATGACTATTGAGCTAGATTTGGGAAGATACCCTTTGTGCTTCTGAACAAAACCAGGAGTTTTTAAACTCAGCATAACTCTCAAAGAGAAAGACAGGTTGAGAAATACAAAACTCTGTATGATGGTCAATTTAAAGGCAGAAAGCAATTTCCCAGGGCAGTATGCTGTGATATAAAGTTTTTAAAAAAACCAGTTCATCTACTTCGGGATTATGGCAGCAGCTGGCAGTGAAGAAGACAGGGGCTTTAACAACATCTACAGCCTTTGAATGTAACAATTTGAATAGCAGGCACACTTACATAAGGCACAAACTGTTATTTGTTCAGTTTTCAGTTATGGTTTGTTAAAAGCATGTCCTAAAAATGGAGAGGGGAAAAAAATAAAGAAAGGCATAAACCTCATATGAAGCCTCTTATTTTTAAAGATTTCAAGTCCACCAGCAGTAAATTGGTACAAACAGATTTTGCACCTTGCCTGACTAATTTACATGCCAGAATTTGTGCAGATTAATGTGAGGGACACAACAAGAAATCCTGGGAGGTTTTTAGAAATGAAACAAGGGCAAAGCTTTTGCTGGTTGCAAAGAGACTCAACCTAGTATTGACCTTCTACAGCACTTACTGGATTCTTACTGACACCTGTCTGTTTAAAACCTCTCACACTGAAGTAAAGCTGCTACAGCACACTTCAACAGGAGCAGTCAGAGGAGGCTGTGAGGGCAGAAGCTGGACCAAGGTGTGACTGAAGAGAAGCTGACAGGAGAGCAGCATCAGGAAGGTGGAAGCAGGGAGGCATCAGGAAACTTCAGTGCAAAGGGGAAGGCAGCTAAAGGATGTATCACTACTCCGACAACCTGGGGTAACAATAGGAATTTATGACATATATCACTACCTCTGTACAGTACCATTCTAATAATTTGATTTAAATTATATGACTGGAAGTACCAAATGTATTGAGGCTACATGTCTTCTTCTCAACTGAAATATATTTATTAAAATTATACTTGATATGAGATGGGATTTATTGTTTCTCTGGTGGTGCCACAGTTCATCTGTCAATATTTAGGAAAAAAATTATCACGCATCTTTTCAACTAAAATAAACACAAAAGCTTGCATTATTTGAACATTTTTCCAAAATAACTCTGATTCTTTGTGAGAAAACCTTTGCTGGACAACATTTCATTTTGTTTGTACGCCCCATTAACATAATAAGTATGTGTTTAGATACAATTATATCCAGCTGTGTTTTCTTTTTGTGTTGATTTTTTAACTGGACTACCATAGTTCAAATAGTGAGATGCCTGTCAAAGTGCTCTGCTGCAAGATTCCCATTTGGTGTGTAGTATATAATTTGCATACTAATACTGTAAATAGTTTTCAAACAGATTTCCTGGAAGACTTGAGAATTCTTCTATATGTGTAAATAGAATGCTTAATTTTTTTCAGGACTAATATTCTGTATGAAAACAGTTCCTCCTCCATACACACAGGGAAATCCTGTGACCTTGTTGAAGTTATCATACAGCAAGATCATAACCAGGATAGAATTTTGCCCTCATCTATTTTTAAATATTTGAGTGAAAACTGTCGTATATTCAAAGGAATCTTAGGGTTTTTTCATCCACCTATTAGCATGTCCTTATCTCAAAGTAGAAATGCCATTGTATTAATTTACATGAAAGGACATGTCAGTCCAGTCATGATAAATTCACTGCTGAGATAAATGGATGCAGATAAATAATATAAAAACCCCACATGTAGAAGACTTTTTAATCCCTATTTCAATCAGTGGATAATAATGTTAGCATGAATCCCAAGCAGCACAACTTTCTATTGATGCTGCCTAGGAGGCTACATAATAGGATTCTGCCAAGAAATACAATGGAAGGAGGAAGTCTGGTCTGCAAGGAGAGGAGGTGCAAGAATAAAAAAGTACTACTTGATATTCATATCCTTTCCCTGATAACGGTGGCAACAGTGAATTAATTAATTAAGCCCTTGTAATAGTGGAACAGTGAATTAATTTTATGACACCTGTAGCAACTCTTTGGAAGAATAAATTGCTTACATCAAATATCATGCCTCAGCCATTGTACATTTCTCTCCAAGTACTGCAAAGTACTGAGTATTTGTAGTCTGTTTGCTGTACAAAGTTTCACACTTCAAGGGCCCTTTTTATTGCCTGGCCACACAGCCCAAATCAATTGCTATCAGCACCTTTTTGTGTAAAAATCTCTTATGCTATGACATATTTCTAATTCTAATAAGTGTTAACTGCTCAGAAGAAAGCAAACTATTACGTCTAATGACATCAGTTGAAGTTTTGATGAGTTTTTTTATTTCTCAAAGAAGATAGCAATTTAACTGTGCATCTACTTAAGACAGAATAACCAGAAGTTTTCTTGCCTCTGAGACAAATATACCCCTGCATGTGGGAGGGAATAAGCTCATGCATTCCAATAGGCTGGGAACTGTCTGTCTGTATTGCTGCTCTGTAGGAAATCTGAAGGAGAAGCTGAACATGAGTCAGCAGTATCTCATTGCAGCAATGCAGACAAACCACATACCCAGCTGCATTAGCAATAGCTTAGCCAGAAGGCAAAGGAAGTGCTTATTTCTTTATATACAGCATCACAACAAAGCATCTGGAATGTTTTTCCAAGGCTACCTTTTTGCCCCACAAACCCCACAAAAAATATATTCAAAATGGGAAGTTCCAGGGGAGGAACAAACTTCTTCATGCTTGCAAAAGGGGAGAGCTAACTTGTCTTCTGTGCCTAAAGGCAAGTAAGAGAGGCTGTGAAATCTCCATCCCTGGTGATTTTCAAAGCTTCTTTAGCCAAGTGCCTGGACAATCTTATTCAGCTTAGAAGTTAGCACTGGTTTGAGCAGGAAGTTGGACTAGAAAACCTCCAGAGGTCCCTCTCAGCCTACATTTCTGTGGCACAGCCTACTACTTTTCACAGCCTGCAGGAAGTGAAATTCAAATAATCCACTTTACAGAACACTCCAATCAAGTATTCACGGCAGTGTGAAATTAATCTCCCTGCCTTCCCCAGCCCACAACAGCAGAACAGAAAAAGACTGGTATTTGCTTCCTTACTGCTGCTGCCTCTGCCCTCTGGCAGCCTATGGTGCATACTCAACCTGTACAAACAAACCTAGGGTTGATTTAAGGAAATGTAATTTCACAGTCTCTTTAGCTAAAAACACATAGGTGTTATTTAAAATAATTACCTCTTTTCAATATGCACACCCATAAATTCAGGGTTCATTAAAGCAGTAAATATTTAGGCAGATTGATTCACATACCTTATGCAATTTCATTACATTTCAGTGTCAATACACTATGAAATAGATAGTTTTATTTGCTTTGCAAGCATATGCTGACTTGTTAAGTTCAATTGCAAAACAATAAATTTCAAGATCTCTGGGTTTTCAAAATTTAAAGACTATAAACTGTGAATCTGCATACAAATATGACAGGTCTCCTGTTCCACTGGAAAAGAGAAACTCAGATTGAAAGCTATCTTTCACAGTATGTGTAATAGCAGACTATCACAAAAAATGTAAGCTTAAAATCTGAAATTTTCTAAGTGTCAAGTGTTAGTGTTGCCTTCTGGAAAAAAATCTATTCTGCTACTTCTGTCATTGCTGCTATTCCTGTCATTTTTCTAGGAGTCTTCTAACCCTCAACAGTCATTATTCATATAGCTCACTTGTAAAGTAGAGAAAGCTAATTAGACAGTGC